ATATATATATATATATATATATATATATATATATATATATATATGGTAGGTTGGGATCGTTTTCGGACTGACCTGTTACATCGAGTTACGCTCATGGACCCTGGACGTACGATAGGTAACGGCACAGAATCGATTCACAACCAGTTACGCCGGATGAACGACGATAAACTGAATCCTAAAGCAAATTATTCGGTCGAATCGCTGCACTTGTGACAATAGTCAGATAAATTTGAAAAGTGACATACTACTCATAGGGTTGCTGACGACTCTTCGACCGGTTTCAGCCTTCTTAGGGCTACGCGGGTAGGCGTAGTGCCAGAGTTTATATTTAGCCTTATGTCCTACTCGAGTTCCGAATGAGTGGTGCGTTACGTCCAAGCAAAATGTCAAGGTATCTCGAATATCCTACCAAGTGGAACATGATGTGATCTGGTGCAGTATATTCCGTTGACACGAAAAACCATAAACGACAGATTCAGCAAGGATTCAGTTGAGTCCTCAGTCGAAAACAAATTCATGTTCAAATGACAGAATTTGTTGAATCCTATCCACTTTGAGTTCAAGAAGAACATAAAGTTGATGAGAACTCGGAGACTACTCGCCAAGAAGAGCGAACTGGTCGTGGGTTGTCAAAGAGTTTTCAGCAATCGTATGAGTAATTTGTTACATATAAACACACCATTCACTTAAAGTGTCCGCATATTACCGCGTGTTTTGTGTACAAATGCTCTGATAAACCTTCTTTTCCACATCTCTTACACCATACTGGAGTAGCAATGTTCTACACTAGTGCAAGAGATAAAAACGGGAAACGACCATATTGCGCTACGCTGAGTAAACTATGATGATTTTGAACCTCATTCACACAACTAGAAAAATGTCACCTCAGGAGTTGGAGTCTTGCAAGCGAAAACCGAACTGAGATCATCATCATCATCATCAAAAACGGCAACATCCGTGTTGACACTAATGCTTCACTGTCGTAGAACCATCAACTTCGTCTAATTGTATTTAAAGCCCTACGTGAAAAGAAGAGAAAACCAGTTGGTGACGGAGGGGACCTAGTGCTGGGCTATGTCGAGCATGTCTGAGGTACCTATACCTCCAAGTGATCAATCAGACAATCTGGAAAGTAACAGACAGCACGAACGCCAATGACGTTGAGTAGCTGCTGTTCCTTGCAACGTCTCCAGGCAAGCACAGACGGGGTCACGGGGAGCCCATCCTAGAAAGCGTACAACAACTCTTCGTGATCTCTTTCACACCCGTCTGCCAAGTCATGCGTTGTCCACTTCGCGGATGGGGGCCATTCTGAAGGAGGCACAGAGAATAAAACTCGTCTCGGTAGACGGTGTTTCGGCGTTCGTAGCACATGACTGAGCCATCATAGTCCGTGGTGCTGGATGTCTTTCCTCAACTGAAGTATCTGCCGCAAAAGCAAACGCCCGTTTTCTAATCACCTTGTTACTAACATGTTGACGCCATCGAAAACGAGCCACGCTTCTGAAGCGTCAGTGGTAAAAAAACTGTAGACGCCTCACATCGTCTGACCGCAGAGACCATGTCTCGCGTCCATAGGACGATAAAGCCCTTACTGTAGCCTGTTACACGCGACCCTTAAGATCATTTAGGTGTTGGTCATCAAGCTACCTAGCGAGAATCCCAAGTCATAGTGGACGACAGCGGCAGTATATATATCGGTTTAAACGAATGTATGCTAAGGTCTACTCACCATTTGGCATTC